AAAACAGAAAAACCACTAAACAGACCTTGTCGGCCATCAGAGTTATGCAAAATAAAAGAATGGATAAAAAAAGCATGAACAAAGAAAACAAAACAATAAAACAAACAGACTAACAGTTCACAAAGAGTCAAAGGACACACAGTAGCCAAAATGAAAGTACATCAAAACAGAAAAATAAAAGCGACCAAAACAAACTGCACTAACAACATTAACTAAAGTTTACTCCTCCATACTCTCCTCAGAATCCTCATCAGGAACATCACCGTGCTCCTCATCCGTCGGGTACACAAAATCAGTCCATTCACACCCCGATGCTGCTATCCCAGCATGTGCAAGTTGCAATCTTTGCATATCATGTTGCACCCTTATTTGCCCACTCATCCATGTCATTCAGGCCTCTTGACGATGTTGTTGCTGTTTCACTTTTTCGATGTCTTCATTCAGCTTCAACAATTGATCTTTTTGGGAAAGCTTCGACGATGAAGATGATTTGGTCCTGGGTACCTCTACTCTACCCCCATTGGTTAAATTCTACAGAAACTGCATGGTAAGGCTCACTCCTTGCGGAATAAAAACTTCTTCAGCATTCAATGGCACTTCCGCTTGCGTACATAATGCAGTAATCAGGTGGGGAAAATAAAAGCCAATCTTGGTACGCTTTGCCGAATGAGTAATCTCTTGAAAGATAATTTCACCCACATTCATCCTCATCTTCTGGCGGATAGCATACATTAAGATTGCCCTAGCTTTACTAACAGTACTTATGTGCTTGGATGGAATCAATCGAGAGCATACAAAATATAACCACATGCGCGAAATTGAGTCCAAGAACTTACTTTCAAAATAGATGTGTTCACCAGCTGCAATAAACCATGTAGCTCTCCCATCAGTCAAAGTGTTTATTACTGCGTCAAAATCCACTTGTTGGTTGAATACGGCATCGTCATCAAACTCAACTTGCGGCAGCCCATAAAATTCATTAATCGCTGCTACATTAAACACTATCTCTTTACCTCTTACTATGGTTCTCCCGTCAACGCTATCAGGAGCGTTGGCATAAAACTCTTTTACCACAGAGGCAACAGCGGGCGCCGGGGGCTCTTTGCAGAATTTCTCCCAACCCAGAGCTTGAATCACATCAGTTATTCCCTCAAAAGCTTCTGTAAACACCAGTCCTCGTTCTTCAATAAATCGCCCCGGTTGTAGTATGTTTGAAGGAGGCCAGCACACTTAAACTTTTGTTTTATGTTCTCACCAAGGTGCCTCATACAGAATCCGTGATGTGCTTGACGATAAATAGTAGCAATCCCCTTCTTTATAGAATTGTGCCTATCGGATATTATGCACAACTCGTCACTGTCAGGCACTATCGTACGTAATTGCTGAAAAAACCAAGTCCACGACTCGTCATTCTCAGAGTCAACCACAGACCATGCAACAGGATATGTGTGATTCTCGTTGTCCTGTGTAGTGGCCACCAATAATGTACCTCCATAGTTTCCTATCAGAAAGCAACCATCAACAGCCAACACCTTTCTCATGTTTACAAAACCCCTTATAGCAGAACCGTAAGCAACAAAAAAATATTTAAACATCATATTCCTATCCCACTTCAAAGTCGTCTTGCTACCTCGGTTTGTCAACTCGAGCATATAACGGTACGTTTCTAATACTGCGTACCCGTGCTCCGGCGTGCCCCTCACAAAATCTTGTGCTTGTTGTCTCCCTTTCCAGCATTTCCAGTAATTAACAGCACATCCCAACTCTGTGCACACAAGTCTCTGAATGTCTTTAGTAGATGGACATTTCCCTTCAACGAACCTACTTTTGACAAATTATCCAATAACATCAACGAACGCTTGTCGATGCTCACCTGAAATATGTTCCAAACCACATGTGTGCTCACGGGTATATATGCAAAGAATAAATTTTTCTGACTCCGCCAACCTTCTACAATAAACCCGCTACTTGCACTTTTGATCACAACATGCAACCGTCACAGCCAATGAATTTGACTTTTTGGTGATGAACTCAAAATTATCTCTCACGGCAACAAGTTTTAGCTTCCTCACCACTTCCTCTTTGTTGTCAAATAAATACTCTATGCGCAACTCCGATCCATCCATAAAAACATGAGCTGATTCACTACTACCTCCAATTGCCCCCTCTGAACTTGCATAAACGACCATAGTGTTCTCTTCCTCACAATCTACGTCTTCTGCATAATCTGTATTTAAAGGAATATCTACATCTGTGGGAACATCTACGGGGTCCTCCTCCTTAACATTTTTATTTTGCCCCACATCACCAACCTCTTCTACAATGTCCTCCTCACCACCCAATTCACTGTCTACTCTTGATTTTTCAGCTAACAAATCAATGGCCTCGTAGTTCAAATTAAAACCAGGCAAATCTCTGCCTACTTCCTCGTTATCCCCTTCCTTTGAACCAACTTCTAACAGTTTTTCTACAAAAGAAACCCTTAAAATCGGCCTCGAACCATTATCGGCCACATCAATCATATATAACTTCACACTTTCATCCGACTTTAATATAGCAGGATGGTACCTTATAATGTTCAAGAACTCTGCTTAAAACATACTTCACAACTATATCACTACGCGAGCAACTCAAATCACCTCTTCTAATTATTTCATCAATCAACTCATCAAAACTAACATATGTGCTCACAACAATTGGTATAACTTCTTTGCTCTTCCCAATCTACTTCTAGCTACTTTCTTCCTCCACCCACTCACCAAAATATTCAACACCCAAAACAACTTGTCTCATGTGTAATAATAGCCAACTACTTGTAATGCAAGAAAAAAAATATTCTTAAATGTTGTACTAAGGGTTCAAATATTTTAAAAAGAATCTGCACAGTCGCTTATATGGTCTGATGTATCGCTTAAGCAATCTTATGTCATTTACTGATCGCTTAAGCGATCTGCTCCTATACACCAGACTTTTAGCAGATCGCTTAAGCGATCTTATGCCACATACCTGATTGCTTAAGCGATCTATCTACTGCATTACCAGACTTACCAGATCGCTTAAGCGATCCATCATACCCAGAACACATTTTCAGTCATCTCCACCTATAATCGATCCATCATCCCTAGAACACATACCCAGAACAAATTTTCAACATATTTCACTCCTTTCAACTTCCATTACATCAAACATAGCCCAACAACCTAAACAACTAAATCAAAATCATAACCCAAACCCAATCCATGCTAAATCAAAATCATAACCCAGATCCTTGTAAATCGAAATATGAAATCGAAAGGGAGATACACATACTTGGACGAAATGTCAGGAGGAGGAGGAGGAGGAGAAGGATCTATGTTGGAGAAGATGTTAATGGCGGAGGAATGCGTTAACGTGGCAGGAGGAAGAAGAAGAAGGTGGTTGGGTTTATTTGCAAGAATTTCAACTCTTTGGGGACATATTATAATTTTTAAAAGATTACACAATTATTTATTAATCCTAATTAACCCCTAATCATATTTAATTAAGCTTAATAAAAAATAAGGCTATTTAGTTAACATTTATAAACTATATAACCTTTTAATTAAATTTTAACTCCAAATGTCTTTTTAATAAACTGCCCATTCTTGAAGGGGACTGTGTGGTTAAATGGTGGCCCGATTATCATTGTTACCGTTAATGCTTTACCGCAACAGCCAATTCGTTACCATTAACTGCCGGTGTTTTGATATTACCGTCACGTAACGGCACAGTATCGTTTCCGTTAATAAACTGGCCGTTTTGAGCATGTTCGTGGAGAGTGGAAACCATGTGGGTGTTATGCGTTTGCTGTGTTTGGTGACGTGTCCAGTACAGTTTCGAGCTTTTCCACCGTTTATGCTTCCATTTTCTCGGGAAACACGATCATAAGTTCTTAACAACATATTTGGAATGAAGACAGAAGAATGCAACAAAACGCACCGTTTGATTTCTCAATACAAGTCGAGTCCACTGTTCCATTGTTATTAACTGGGCCCATAAATTTAAACAGACCTATCTGATCCCATTTGATTTATTTAAAAGGTATAGATTAAAAAAAAAATTGAATCATTATTTAATTTCATTCACGCTCTATGAGAAACCCCGTTAAAATTATTAAACCCTTGAAATTATTATATATTCTTANAGGGGACTGTGTGGTTAAATGGTGGCCCGATTATCATTGTTACCGTTAATGCTTTACCGCAACAGCCAATTCGTTACCATTAACTGCCGGTGTTTTGATTTTACCGTCACGTAACGGCACAGTATCGTTTCCGTTAATAAACTGGCCTTTTTGAGCTTGTTCGTGGAGAGTGGAAACTATGTGGGTGTTATGCGTTTGCTGTGTTTGGTGACGTGTCCAGTACAGTTTCGAGCTTTTCCACCGTTTATGCTTCCATTTTCTCGGGAAACACGATCATAAGTTCTTAACAACATATTTGGAATGAAGACAGAAGAATGCAACAAAACGCACCGTTTGATTTCTCAATACAAATCGAGTCCACTGTTCCATTGTTATTAACTGGGCCCATAGATTTAAACAGACCTATCTGATCCCATTTGATTTATTTAAAAGGTATAGATTAAAAAAAAAATTGAATCATTATTTAATTTCATTCACGCTCTATGAGAAACCCCGTTAAAATTATTAAACCCTTGAAATTATTATATATTCTTACAAAAGTTTCAAAATACATTGATAGTTGTCTATATGACCCTTTCTATACTCTAATCTCAATTCACACAAAATGTGAACACGTGGTCTCTTTCAATGTTCAAACTTATGCGTAAACTGGCCTCCATGCATGAAGACACGTATCCCTTCTATCTCTCTTCTTCACAATCACGCCACCACTTCTCTCCATCTCCATTTAACTTTCTTCAACTACGAATTACAAACACTAAACTCTAATCATAAACAACAATCTTGACGCCATATTCATCTGTATTCTTTGTTTTAGCCTGAGTATTCTACTGACAAAATGGTGAAGCTTGCATCGGCACGAGAGAGCCGAATTTACGGGCCCCGGTTATCGAGGAACCGGGCGGAATACACAAACGCTGGGCTGTATGTATTTGCTACGATTGTTCTATTGACTGGTTTTGCAGCCGAGTTTTCCTGGGAACCGAAGTCGGGTTTGGTGCTTTTGCTTATAGCTTCAGCGTTGATGATGGTGGTTAATGCTCATGATCTTCTTGCCCATCTTGCGGGTTTCGATTATCGGTTTCCATTGATGGAATTTGATGTCCAGCTTGCGCTCGTTGAGTTTGCAGTTCCTGTTGTTCAGATTTTGGGATCCCTTCTTTTGTTCTTGGGAATTCTCTTTCTCTTCATTCAGGTTCGTTCTATGTATAATTATTATATTGTTAAGTACTGGTGATTTTTCTGGAAATTAATGTCAAATTGATAACCCCACTTTTAATATCCACATTTGAAAAGAAATTAATTATAGGTAAATTCCTTAGTTTGGAAATTAATGTGCTGATTTGCTTTGACTATCTACAAATTACAGAAAGTGAAAGGATTTGGTTTCTTTAAATTGGAAAAGCATGCTTTGAACATGCTTATTGCTGGCCCTGTTTTATGGGTGCTTGGATCCATCCACAATTTATGTCAAATCTATGAGAGAGCTGATGGTCATGTCCAAATCTTGCAACAAAGTGTCCAACTCCCTTTCTTGATGGGGAGTTTGTTGTTAATGGTGGGCGCCATCATCAATTGCCGCGAGCAAGCCAGACAAATGCATCATGGATTAGACCTATTGGTAAATACTATAACATAAGAACTTAATCAAACCGAGTTTATAAGAGTTATAAGGATTAGAATTTTTTGATGCAGGGAAGTACTTGGGTGTGGTTGGGAATTGGTGCAAGCATATTGTTCTTCGTCGGAGGGATAACGAATGTGGTAAAAGTGTTCAAGATGCAACAACTTAATGTGCTGCGGCTTGAGAAACTGCGAGGAGGAGCACAAGAGAGACTAGTTCAAGAAAGAGAAGGCCATGTTCCACTCATTATAGAAGAACATCAGAGGATAAAAAAGCCGGCTGCTCCAGTAGCAGCCGGGGAAACAGAACCAGCAATTGTAGGATCTCCAACACCTTACAAGGATGTGCTTGTTCGCACTTGAAGTTTCAATTCCATTGATTGGTAATTAATAATTAACTATTATCAGGTTGATTAATATTATTATTTCTTCCTTTGGGACTTCTTATAATTGCCTTTATGTTCATTTAATTAACTCCCAATACTCGACTGAGTTTCATGCTAGCTATCTCATGTAATGAATGGATACACTTGATTACTTTGATTTGCCAAGTTACAAGTAATGTAATATGTATGCTGTGATATGTAATCATCTTTAAAAAATTTACTTTTTTTTTTTTTTTGCAATTTCATAGTATAAGGATGCTACTATTCTTTTATATAATCGGCACGTCGTCTTCAATGTTTTATAGTACATGACAGGTCGGATCCGCAGGATCTGTTTCTAAAGAGTAGCAGCAATTTGCCTAGTATGAGGGAAAAACGACAAATCGTCCACAGATATAATATAATCGGCTAAAAGTTGAATTTAGTCCGTTTGGTACACTTTTTTTAATAGGGTTCTGAATTGAATTCTTCTAGTATTATGAGAATTTATTTGGTATATTATTGAAAAATATTTTCTAAAAATATTTAGATTATTTTTTAACTTTTTACATTTGTTAATTTAGCTGAATATCACCTTATAATAAAAGTTAATAAATTACTAAAAATACCTCTACCCACCTAACTAATTGTTGACCGTCAACCATCACCGTCAGACGGTGGTTGTCAATCACTAGGATGGCGCACGATCGGTTTCAATCAAATTGACGAACGATTGGTCATATCTAACTGTTCGTGTCATTTCGATGCCAGCGACCAACTGTGGCAGCTGGCGGTTAGCGGTAGTTGCTGGGGGTGGAATTGTTTCTGTTAATTTATAAATTTTTATTGAGAAAGATAATTATTAAAAGTTTTGAATTAAATAAAATATGATTGGATTTTAAATTGAATAGTCAATATTAAAATAAACACATTTTCACTTTTATGATAGAATAGTAGAATAGTATAGGGTTGCAAGAGTTAAACAAACAGGGGAAGATATTTGCAGAATTTCAAATTTTATTTCAATTACTTTAATTTGTTTAAGTGTTTGCAGTAAAACAAGATAAACTGTATCCTATAACTTATGTATTAGATTGTAATTGGTTGAACCTAATTTGAAGAAGTTTTTTCAGTCTAATATTTATCATTGTATATAATTAACAGCACAATTTTGTTTCAGTATATTAGCTGTTATATGATTAAATAAAGAGTGATGCTATTGGTCTACAATAGGTGAGTACGGGTAGTGGGTAGAACCGGAACTTGAGGATAGAATCGAAACCGAAACCGGCAATGTGCGGGTAGGTTCCGGTTCCATTTTAGGGGAACCGACACTGTGCGGCAGAACCTGGAAAAAGAACCGATTTTTTGAACCTGTTTGGAACCTATTTTGGAACTTGTTTTATAACCTATTTGGAACCTGTTTTGGAACCTAGAGGTCCTAGACTATAATGAAAATATGAAATATTTGTGAAATGTGAATAAAGAATAATGGGGGGTTTCTATTATTTTACATATAAAAAAATTTAAAATAGAAAAAAGTTAAATTTTTAGAATAACATAATTAAATAAATATACAATTATACTTACTACATACAAATTACACCATATTAAAAACTTTAATATATTATAATATATTAATATTAAAGTTTTGATTAATTAAGTGAATAATTGGAATTATGATCCAATTAAAAGTGTTTTAATCTTATTAAAAGAATTATTTTTGAATAAAATAGTATATTTGATTGAATAATAATATATTTAGTTATTTACTTCAATTATCAAGTTCTAAGTATATCTATAGTAAATTAGCAATTAATTAATTATATATGATAAATTGATAAACATTAATAAATTTAATTACTAGTTAAATATCATACTTAATCAATTATAACATTACATTATAGTTAAATGATTACTTAATTAATTATAATTTTATAACATTACTTAATTGATTTATAGTATAATTAATTATAGCATTACATTAATTGATTACTACTTAATTAATTGACTTATAAGTTATAACATAATTAAATAGTTAATTAATTGACTTATAATTAGAAATTTAATTAATTATAGCATTACGTTATAGATTTATAGTATAATTACTTAATCAATTATAACATTTTATTATAAACATTATTACAAACTTAATTAAATGATTAAAAATTTAATTAATTATAATATTACATTAAAAATTTATAGTATGATTACTTAATAGTTAATTCACTATAACATTACATTATAGTATGATTATATAATTAATTATAACATTACATAATTAAATAATTACTTAATTGATTATGTCATTATATTATAAATATTAGTAATTACTAATTTACTACATAAACATTAGCATAATACTTAATTAAATGATAAGAAATTTAATTAATTATAACATTACCTTATAAACATTTCATTATAAACATTAATTAAGCATTACATTATAGTTAAATAATTACTCAATTAAATTATAATATTATTATATTACATTATATATTATGATCACTTACTTAATTATAGCATTATATAGTTAAATGATTACATAATTACTTAATTAGTTATGAATTTATAACATTACATTATAAACATTAGTAATTTACTAATTTACTATATTATTACATTACTTAATTAAACGATTAAAAATTTAATTAATTATAACATTACCTTATATATTTATAATATGATTACTTAATCAATTATAACATTCTATTATAAATATTAGTATATTAATTAAATGATTAGAAATTTAATTAATTATAATATTAAATTATAGATTTATAGTATGATTACTTAATTCATTATAACAGTACATTATAGTATAATCACGTAATTAATTATAATATTACATAATTAAATGATTACTTAATTGATTATGACATTATATTATAAACATTAGTAATTTACTAATTTACATAATACTTAATTAAATGATTAGAATTTTATTAATTATAACATTACATTATAAATTTATAGTATGATTACTTAATTAATTATAACATTCTATTATGAACAATATTACAATACTTAATTAAATGATTAAAATTTTAATTAATTATAATATTACATTATAAATATTAAACATAAGTAATTAATTAAATTATTAGAAATTTAATTGATTATAATATTACATTATTGTTAAATAACTACTTAAATAATTATAACATTATATTATAGTATGCTTACTTAATTAATTATAACATTACATTATAGTTATTTGATGTGAATTGTGATGAATAATTGTTTGTGTTTTGGTTTTGATTGACGAATTATATGTGAATTGTGATGAATTGATTGAATTCAAGTGTTGCCTAGAGATTATAGGTTATGAGTTACATTTTACACAAATGAATGAGTAATCAAAATTTGTTAGGGGTGTATTTGTAAATTTTTAAGGTATTTTTGTCATTTTTTTAACTAATAGGGGGGTGATTATTTTTTACAGGATACCCGGGAACCGGAACCTGAATTTTAGGTTCTAGTTCCTTGAATTTAAGAACCTGCACTGTGTGATTCTGGTTTCGATTACTCCAAAAATATAGGGTACTTGGAACCACTCACCCGTCTACTCTTCGTGCGGTATTTTTTTTAGACCCTACTTTTAAGTTTATCCAATTAAAATGTTACAAATTTTACTTACTTTCAAAATACACTTCTATTAATATTTTTTATGTTTTTTGTTTAAAAATATAATGTTGAGAGATGAAATTTATCCATATATGTTTTTACTTCCAAATTTGCAACAACAAACGAGACTCGATCAATCTTGGCAGGACCAAGTTAGATGGGTGTGTGGTTGTGAATAATTAGCTAATGGAGATGAACAGGTCGTAAGCCAAAAACAAACTAGCTAAAAATAATAATAAACAATGTAAAATTTTTAAAGAGGTCTAACGGGTTGGTTCTAAGCCTACATCCTCTGTTATTTTGTTGACTAGCGTTCTCTCCAGATAATTATAAGGGTAATAAGTGGCAAATGGGTTTACAACGGGGTGCACTTTCGAGCTACTTTCTTACTTTTCTCTCTAAATTAACCTTTTCTCTGGTGAGTGTGGTGTCTGATTGAATGGACTCCTTCTCTAAAATGGAAATGGCTTCCTTTTTAATACTTTTGTCTATCAGTGGTTGGAAGTTGGTAATTACATGGCAATTTTACATGCAAAATCCCTTATAATCTTGATTTGTGTTAGGTGCGTCATGCCAAAGACAGTCAACCACTGCACTCGGAGTAGTCAATTTTGATGGAGAAGTTTGTGGATGGGGCGACGCCACATGGGAGGACCTTGGCCGTCAGATTTAAGAGTAGTTAGTGGACAGGTGGCATGCATCCAAGGGCTAAGAGATTCATCGCATGATAGTAAGAAACTTTAATGCATCAAAACAACTTATAAATTTTTGAAAAGTGCGGAAGAAGAAAAAAGTAGAAAAAACTTAACAAATCAACTTACAATTATAATGCCTAAATTCCATCTCCATTGTACTTACATGATCTTAATCAAATTCTTTCAATTGCATAAATCTTGGTTCCATTGTTTAAAAATAGAATTAGGATTAATTATACCAAAAAATCTTGTATTCGAATCGTAGAAGAAACATTTATCAAATTTATGCAATTACTTTGATTTGTTGAGCTTGTGAGATGTTTTGTGACCTTGAAGATTAGACAAACTCGGTTGACAATCGTGTCGGATACCTCAATTATTAAAAGAAAAATTAGAATTACGATTTATTGAACTAAGGTTTATGATTAAAAGAATAAATAAAATTTTGAGATACATATAACTCTATAATACCTTATTTAATAAAGGATAAAATTATAATTAAATAATTTAAATAAAGCATAAAATTATAATTATAAATTTATTAATAATAATTGTGATCTAAAGAGATATAATATGGGACAATTGCAAAACCATCCTATAAATCGTAAAAGATATATTTATGTTAAAATTAAATCACTGTAAATTATGGATATGTAATGCGTTGATTGAATTCGAGTGTCTTTCCTCTTTTACCCTTTAATCTAAACCACACATCTCCATCTGAAATGCGCATTTTTAAGTTATATACGACCATCTGCTAACCTCAACTGGGTGCTCAATTTGCCTACCAGGCGCCAAAGGGTGCGTTTGGTGTAGTATTTTGGATAAGATTTTGAGGATAGTATTGGATTGTTGGATAGAGGAGTATTACGAGGTAAATTTAAAAAATTTATGAAAAAGCCCTTAGGTTTACTAATTTAATTAAAGACCCTACTATATAAAATGACAAAAACACCCCCACCACCTACAATGTCAGATTCTGGCTGCCATCGTCGGAATCTGGCCGAAAAATTTTGTTACAACACAGACCGATCGGATCTGTGCCGTAACGCATCATTATGGCCTTTTCCGGCCAGATCCACCACGGATCTGGTCGAAAAAGGCCAGATCTACGGCCTGTTATGGCCGTCAACGGCCGGAAAGGCCAAAACGACGGCCAAAGATGTGGCCGTCGTTTTCGGCCTTTTCGACCAGATCGGTGTAATTCCGGCCATTTATGGTTGGAATTTAGGCCGTTGTACAGATTCTGGCTATCACCAACGGTGGTTGCCGGAATCTGACAAGTTGGGTTGATGGGGGGGTTTTTATTAATTTTTAAAAAAAAATGTAGGGGGCATTTAGTGAAATTAATAACTTTATGGGGTCTAAAAGTAATGAAAAATAGGATAATATTTATGGAATAGTGTGCCAAACATTATTTGGAGAATAGGATTGGGAATATGGATAAAAATTGGGAGCCAAACGCAATATTTCATCCTCAAACCCCGATAAAAAAAAAAAAAAATCTTAAGTTGCTTCGGTTTTACTTTCTTCTTCGAAACCCTAACTTTTATAACATCCCTAATCAAAGTTTGGCTCGATAAATCTTCAGGTATTTGATTTATAATCTTTTATTGTTTCAAATTTCTCTCTACTTTTTCAATTTAATAAATAGATCAGTTGTTATTTCCCTCGGTAATTGTATTTATGGCGGTTTTTCTTTTACAAGATTTAATGTTTCGGGCGCTAGATTAATTTTACTTTGTAGATTATTTTTAGAATAAGGGTGCATTTTTGTTTATTTCACGGCAGTTTTGTTTCCCTTTGCAATTATAGATGCTGGCTAAAAGTTCTTTCAGCAATTTTTATGGACTTCAGTATTTCTTTTTTGGGGCTGCGCTTGCTGTCTCTTACTTTTGTAGGTTAATTACTCTTTAATTTTTAAAAAGGCTGGTTTCAAATTTTTGTATTAAATGAGAGAAATTGACAAATTGGGAAGAAGGCGTTGCTGAGGAAAGTTCTATTTTTATATTTTTTTTGAAATTTTTGTGGCTGTAGTATACAAATGCTGATGAATTTTTACAGTATATATCTATAAATAACTTCATATATGTACGTATATGTGTATATGACTAGATGTATTTATAGTTTTGTTGGGGAATGATTGCGTAGATGTGATCTGGATGTGAAGCCTTTTTTTATGTTTGGTCTGTAGACTTAGTATATAGGTTTCTGTGATGGAGAATATGGTTTTGATGTGGGTTTCATATTGCAGTCAAAAGGGGCTACACGTAATATAACTTAGATTGGGGTGGTTGTTCAGGATGGCATCTGTATCTAGTCAGCCACAGTTCCGTTACACCCAACCCCCGTCTAAGGTGCTACATTTGAGAAACTTACCATGGGAATGCACAGAGGAAGAATTAATTGAACTTGGGAAGCCGTTTGGTAAAGTTGTGAACACAAAGTGCAATGTTGGAGCAAACCGGAATCAGGCTTTTATAGAATTTGTAAGTGGGAGTGGATCTTTGTGTTTTAACTGTTCAACTCAATTTTCTTAGTGATTGTATCAATGGGTATTCATTGTTCATTTCTTCATATACACAGGCAGATTTAAATCAAGCTATTGCAATGATATCATATTATGCCTCATCCTCGGAGCCTGCTCAAGTGCGAGGGAAGACTGTGTACCTGCAGTATTCTAATAGGCAAGAGATAGTAAACAACAAAACAACAGCAGATGTTGCTGGAAATGTACTATTGGTAACAATTGAGGGTACAGATGCACGCCTTGTCAGCATTGATGTCTTACACCTGGTAAGCTACTTTCATGCTTTTCTTTTATGGTTAGACAAGGTAAACATACTACTACTGGATGTTGTCAATGAACTTCTGTAATTAGGTTGCAGTTTGTCATGCTTTGGAAAGCTTTTGTTTGACTTGAATGTAAATGGATCAGCAGGCCCATGTCAAGGCAATATCTTCAATGGCAGCTTTGTGCATCGGGAGAAAGAGCACATGTGTGTTTGTCTCCTTTCTCCTTTCCTTAACACTACCTCTTTCTTCCCTTCATTTCCTCCCTCACCTTCCTATTCCTAACATTCTGATGGTTTAGGATAATTTCATTTCTTTTCTCTTGTGCATCCCTTCACTCTTTTTATATCTGCATGCTCTATATTATGTTTTGGTTATCCTGTAGCTGATGGTGGTGCTGGCTTTTCCAGTACAATTGCTTATAATTTTTTGGGATGCAATGATTTTATCAATTCCTTTTAATTTTGGTTTTATTTTATTTCCTCTGGTGTTACATAAGGTTTTTGCACCAATTGGATGCAAGCTTTTCTGAATTTATGAATCTTTAATTTGTACAAGTTCTGGTGATTTTGACTGGAGGTTAGAAATGTGATTCGTATTCCATTATTGGAAGAGTTGAGTTTCAAGTGTGTCTACCTTTTCTAATTAACTTGCTGTTAATCTGTCTTTAAGGAAGTGTTACTTTTATCTTAGAAAGAGTGAATAAATTATTGTGAAGTCGAGGAAATTGCCTTTTAAAGTACATAAAGGCAAAGTGCCCAACAACCTAAACTATTATCTTTTTGCGTTGGGAGATTTTGGAGACAGATGGATGGTTTCTTTGTTTGTTATTATCCATAATTCTAGTAATTTTTGGTTTTTATCTGAGAGAGCTATTGTTTTCTTATAAAATTGATGTGAATTTAAACTCCACAGGGATAATAAAGCTTCCGTAGAGATGCTATCTTTTAAATGTAAATTCAATGTTTTGTATTTTTGTAGTTATTTTGAATTCTTTTTCCTTTGATATAAAAATGCTACTGTATACTTGTATAAACCTGGAAAATTTAAATACATCTGCGTTTGGTTTTATCTAAAATTTACTGCTAGGAACAATGCAGGGCAGTTGCTTTTTGAGCTTGTGGAATATATTTTTTCAGTACTTGTTTCTAAAATTTATTTCACTGATGCAGGTTTTTTCAGCTTTTGGGTTTGTCCATAAGATTACTACTTTTGAGAAAACAGCTGGATTTCAGGTGTATATATATTTTGTGTTTGTGGCAAAATCGTATCGGTGATTTCTCATTTTGGAACCTAAACTCAACACTTCAAATTTTTTCAGGCCTTGGTGCAATTTTCTGATACTGAAACTGCCTCCTCTGCAAAAAATGCCCTGGATGGAAGAAGCATCCCTAGGTGACAATTGTATTAATTTTTTGACACGGTATTTTGTCCAACTGTTGTGGAACATATCATGATTTGAGATGAACAATAAGACATTTAAGAGTCATTTGGCATAAGTGATCTGATTAAACTTTTGATGGATAATGAAGCCCCTCATGCCCTACTTGTCTTCATTTTTTAATCCTTGAAAGTTTGGCTCACCATTGCTAAGTAGATTATTCTTTATATGGTAAATAGCTGGCAATAATAGTTTTTTAAATGTTCATGTGTTACATGGATGAAGCTATGCATTTACCAGTTATAATAATTTTGTTAGTATTATTTGTGCAACTTAAATAATTTATTGATTCTTTTGTCCTTGTTATCAGGTATCTTCTTCCTGAGAATATGGGACAATGTACCCTGAGGATCACATATTCTGCCCACACAGATTTAAGTGTGAAATTCCAGAGTCATCGTAGCAGGTATTCCAGTTGTCAGTTACTTGGCATATGACTGTTTAATATACTATATTGCATATTGGCTTCAAACTAGTTTCTGTATGGGGGGAGACTAGGAGCTTTCTTTACAACTATTTGTACCATTCAGAGTTCCCTTTATCCAGTTGGTTATATAATTGTTTGCATAATTATTATTTGCTAGACTTCTGCCTTTGTCTTGATATTTATCACTTTTTTGTCTCATTTATGTTAATTGCATTTTCCAGGGACTACACTAATCCTTACCTTCCTGTTGCTCCATCAGCCATAGATGCTAGTGGTCAGGTAACTGGAGCTCAAAAGTTTATTATGATAAATATATTGATAGTTAGAAATTGCAATTATGGTATGGAAATAATATTTGGCACATTTGAAGCATGTACATCGTGAGGTTATTTTGCCTAATATAGGGTGCCAGTTTTTTGTGCATGATTTTTCATGACTGAATTCTTGGTATAATGTTTCCCCGCCATACACAGAATCATGGAACCTTGGAATGTGTTCCATGTGCCAAGATGCAATCTGAGGGGGACATGATGCTTAAGATTGCTACATTTTGTGGTGGAATCTTTGATAATATCTATGTTTGAGTTTATTAAACAGGTTTCTTATGTTCTCTCGCAGTTTAGTGTGGGCATTGATGGGAAAAAACTAGAACCTGAGAGCAATGTTCTTCTTGCATCTATCGAGAACATGCAGTATGCTGTCACCTTAGATATTTTACACATGGTATATATAATAGCAATTGTTGACATTCTCAGCTGGCTTATTTTTTGTCAACACTAACCATTTGCCTCCTTTTTCCCATGACTAGGTTTTTTCTGCTTTTGGGCCCGTCCAGAAGATTGCCATGTTTGATAAGAACGGTGGACTTCAGGCCTTGATTCAATATCCTGGTAATTTCTTGGAGCTTGTCAACTTATATTGATATAGAACAATATATTGAATACTTTGTGCATATGTTGATACTGGCATTTTCTGAACCTATATGCATTGTCAAAGTATAAAATTTTTAATGTTCATTATTTGGTCACATCGTTTATCTAATACTAAATTTGACTAGAAACAGAATATAAATGTTATATTCTGCATTATATGTATTAAGGCCTAAAAAATTGGTAGTCCATAAACAAGGGATCTGAAAATGGTTGCTCTGGATAACTTACTAGATTCAAAATTCAAATAATGTATCACTTTGATTTTTCTTTTTTCTTTTTTTAATATTCCCCTTTCAATTTTATCTAATCTTCTGTTTTCTTTCTTTGTCGATCTATTTTTCCCCCTTTTTTGGCCCTTATTCTGATGATTTTTTGGGATTTGTTTGAAATGATGATGTTTTTGAAGGATATTCGTGTTCTGTATATTTTTTTAATTATAGTGGAAGAAAGAATTATGAAAGGAATGGTTTATGCTTGGGTGAGGGGGAATCAGTTTTCTATTAAAGGAATATTTTGGAAACATGAAAGGCAGTTTTTATTAAACATCCTACGCATGTCACACCTCAAGTAACACTGTAGTTTATGGTGAATTTCTTATGTTAAAATGAACTCCATATTTCTCATATCGACATTGACACTGTTGGCTGACTTTTAAAAATGTATACTTAAGGTATTCATATTGCCACTAATTGCAGATGTTCAGACAGCTGTTGTTGCAAAGGAAGCGTTGGAAGGCCACTGCATTTATGATGGAGGGTTTTGCAAGCTTCACATATCATACTCCCGTCATACCGATCTCAGTATAAAGGTATTTCAATCATGCCCTTGGAATAGCTCTGGTTCCATAAACACATAGAGCAAACTGTGAAGATATAGATGATTTTTATCACTTGTGTCAGTCAATCATATCATAACTTCAAATAGTGAAACATTGTTGAGACATCTTTTACAGACTAAATATCTTTTAAAGATAAATAGCCAATTATTCAGATCTTGACGTGTTGATTACAGGTCAATAATGATAGAAGCAAGGATTATACAATTCCCAACACGCCCATTGTGAACCCTCAGCCATCTCTTCTTGGGCAACAGCCACATCCAATGGTGGGCACTGCTGCACATCAATACAATGGATCTCAGTATCCTCCAACTCACCAGCAGCCTGGGATGCATCAGCCTTCAGCAGGATGGGGCTCAGCTGCTCCAGCAATACCTCAATCAATGCCCATGATGAATAATCATTCTTACATGCCAGCCGGAGCAATGCCTCAAATGGGCCCGGGAATGATGCAGATGCCAGGCCAGGGTAGTATGCCGCCACACATAGGGACTATGCCTCCAACCAGACCCGATCAGATGCAATAGCACATCTGAGATCGTTTTGATAGTTTTTGTGACGTTGTGGGAGGCCTATGCCTACTTAAAAAGTGGCGATGCAATTGAACGGAAATATCATTTTGGCCTTGTGATTATCTCACAATTATGAAGCTGAAATGTGACAAATGTTATTTAATTTTTTACTTTTTAGGCGAAACTTTCACCTTCCAATTCTGAAGGGAGATTAAGTAAGTAGCTGGCTAAGACTGGGTTACAAAACTCTGTTTTGTTTTGTGAAATGCTTGAGAAAAACAATGAAAAAATTGTGTTATTTTTCAACCTGCCATTACAAGCAAATCGTGGAGAACAATTTTAGTTTTACAAATAATTCTGTGCTTCACTTCTCCATTGGTACATACGAGAAGATCTACATCCCTCGGTATAGAAAACATTCTTATTCTTAATCAATGGAGTGCTTTTGGGCCTTGTTGAACCAAAGAAAGATCTTCTACGGCCGACTCACTGAGTTTGCTTATGAAAATCTGTCACACGAGTGGCATAATTAACCGGTCTCACTCAATCACGAACAGAAGCATAAAGCCGGCGCCAATTTCAATCGAGATAAGGTTTTACCTTCTAATCAATCTCTTAATAAGCCAAATCTTGTGGCTCTCATCTCTCTCTCTTTTCCCAGATAGATATAACCAGTCAAAACGTAAAAACTCTTAACAAAACAGAGAGTGAGCGAGCTAGTGAGAGAGTGCTCACAAATAAACCCTAACAATGACCATCATTCTCCAAGCTTCTCTCCTCTGTAAACCTTCACTCTCTCTTGTCATTCATCCTCTTCCTTCTTCTTCTCCTTTTAAACGACACCCTTTTCACCGCTCTTTTTCCCCTCCTCCACGCCACCACCACCACTTCCACTGCTCTTCCACTTTTAATTATTTGCGTTGTCGTTCCCTCCGTCTTTCAATTCCTTGCACATTGCACCCTGACAACGTAGATTCCCAGGATTCTAAATTTGTAAATAATTCTAATTCCGATTTTCGTGGAGATAATGATAATAGTAATGCATTGAAATTGTCTTCCGAGGTTCCGACTTCGAGCTCTGAAGAGACTGCGATCAGTAAGAATTCGAAAAGTGAGATGAAGGTGGAGGAGACGAATGGCGAGGATAGTTTAGGTAAAAGTGAGGGGTTGGATGAGAGTTCAGAAGAAAATGACGGGGCAAAGAGTAAAGTTCCTTTGCTGGTGTTCTTGATGGGCTTGTGGACGAAAACGAAAGTAGGAATTGAGAAAATGATGACCTGGGATTGGCTAAGTTGGTGGCCTTTTTGGCGGCAAGAGAAACGGCTTGAACAGCTAATAGCTGAAGCTAATGCTAATCCGAAAGATGTTGCCTTGCAGAGCGCTCTCTTAGCTGAACTCAATAAGCACAGGTTCAGTTTTTCAAGTTTCATCATGTGTTTGTTGCTTAGAAAATTATGTAAATTTAATGGCATTTACTAGTTTTTCTTCGTCTTTTTTTTTTTTTGAAGTCCTGAGTCAGTGATCAAAAGGTTTGAGCAAAGGGAGCATGATGTGGACAGTAGAGGCGTAGCAGAATATCTTCGAGCACTTGTTGCTACTAATGCTATTGCCGAGTATCTTCCAGATGAACAATCTGGCAAGCCTTCTGCTCTTCCTTCATTGGTAATCATCCTTGTTCTTTTGTTATTCTGTTGGTCTTTGTAATGTTGATGGGAATTTGAATTTACTTTAGTATCACTTCTGAAGAGTAAGTTCCTCTATCTCAATAAAGTATTGAAGTGTGCCTGAATATTAATGTAGGGATAGAATTGTTGGAGAGGTTTTAAGAGCTGTTTGAGTCCATATTCATATATTAGGAAATAAATGCATTGTCAATTCTAAATTTCATTTTCCAGTTGGATTATGCTTTATGTCGATTGGATTCCTTTGCTTGGACTTTTTTCATTCTTTAATTTTGTGTTTGGAGTATGGGCAATGAATCAAAACTTACCTTGCTTTAAACAATGTTTTCAGTGTTTTGAAATTATTTTTTATGGTGAAGAGGCATTCAGCTGCAACACATGTTTTCACATTGCCATAAATTTTGTTTTACTTGGCAGTACAACTCCTGAACAGGATTATTATTTGACAAAATCCATTGTCATGGTCATCGCCCTTTCTTTTATAAGGGTTGACTTATTTTTTGTGCTCTTTCCTGAAGATTCTTTCATATCCTGACTGTGTGACTTTTGCATATCTAATCAATTTCAATTTTTTACTTGTAGTTGCAAGAATTGAAGCAACGTGCATCAGGGAACACAGATGAGCCCTTTTTGAATCCTGGCATATCTGAGAAACAGCCGTTGCATGTGATGATGGTAAGTCTCAAAACAAGAGTAGTTGTTCTTCGTGAGAGAAAAAACATTGTTGGCTCTCATATGATTGTTGGAAATCCCATAGCTATAGGATGTCAACAATAGTTGTTATCTGTTCTCCACCTTTATACTTCCTCTTTGTTGGATTCTCCCTCTTTCTCATTGTGTGTGTTTTGAATGTTTGGATGCTGATTTATGTTATGTCTTCTATCAGGTTGACCCTAAAGTGTCAAACAAATCTCGATTTGCACAAGAGCTTATCTCAACTATCTTATTCACCGTAGCTGTTGGATTAGTATGGTATGAATCTTTTGGTTACTTGATGTAGTTTTATTTTATCATTATGCTCTCTAATTATGAAAATCAGCGTAATAAAAGACAAAATTCTCTTTCGCTCATGCTGTCAAAGTTGTTAGTGTTTGCTTGTCTCCTAGAGATGTTACTATTATTAACTAAGAACTGTTTTCAGGATAATGGGTGCTGCTGCACTTCAAAAATACATAGGAAGCCTGGGTGGGATAGGAGCTTCAGGTGTTGGCTCAAGTTCTTCTTATACTCCAAAGGAGTTGAATAAAGAAGTTATGCCAGAGAAGGTAAAAGTTAAGGTTCTGAGCTTGTGAAGCTGATTTCCCTGAGACCATTTGTAGGAATGCTCTCACTCGTACCTGTCTTATAAATAGTCTTTGAGTATCATATGAAGCATTCAAATGATCTGCAATCATTCACATTTATGGTTCAGTTTTGTATTTGAGATATGACTGTCAGTCATGACCCTCCATCCTGTTCCTGCTTTGGTTCTCTTTCAGAATGTTAAAACATTCAAGGATGTCAAAGGTTGTGATGATGCAAAACAAGAGCTTGTGGAAGTAGTAGAGTATCTGAAAAACCCATCGAAATTTACTCGCCTTGGTGGGAAGTTGCCTAAGGTTTGTTGAAGGTTTTTTTTTTTTTTTTTTTTTTTTTTTTTTTTTTTTTTTTTTTTGTGTGGGTGTGTGTGTGTGGGTGTGTGTGTGAATATATTATTATTTTTTTTTTTCATTAAATGCTTCGTTTTATTGCTTCGGTTCAATATCATGATCTTCAATTTTGATATATTAATGTCTTATGTTGATTTGGTAACATGTAGATGCAAAAAAAATTAGCATTTTTACCGTTCAAGGATGAAATGCAAGTTACTAGGTGGTCATGTATGCTTGTGTATACGTGATTTATAGAATCCAGATTAGTTATGACTTATATCAAGGAACCTGCTGTTAAACGTTGTTTTTCTTATCCATTTTCAAAAAGCAGTTAAGCATGAATGGTTTCATGCTTCCCTGTGAGGTTAAATAACTTCGTTATTGAATTTGTGTTTAGGTTCTGCAATTATATGATAGATTGTTTTAAAATACCAGTCTTACATGTACTTTGCAGGGAATTCTTTTGACTGGAGCACCTGGAACAGGAAAAACTCTGCTTGCCAAGGTAAGGTGTTTCTTCTGTACTCTCATAAACTGTTTTTACCTGTTAAGGGGTTTTAGGTTTCATGTGCTAAATTGTTCTTTTACCTGTTAAGGTTTTCAGTTTTCATGAGCCAATTGTTTTTGACCTGCTAAGGGTTTTAGGTTTCAAGTTTTGTGCCAAAGCTAGTACATTCACTTACCTTTTTTTTACCTAATTGATCTTTCGTTTCTTTGTTTGTAACTGTATCTAGTGGCAGTGTTCTCGTATGTGGATTTGTAGTTACACATATCAACATTCTTTTAGTTTTTCCTTGTGTAACTTTAACCTATGAATCAGTACTTATCAAAGATAAAAATAGTGGAAAAAAACATGTATGTGTAAATTCTAATGGCAATCTTGAGTTCATGAAAATTGGGTATTCGGCATCCTTATTGAAAGAACTTGTGTGGATGTGTTCCTTGACATTTATCCAATTGTCAATTTAGGTTCCTTGACATTTGTTTAGATATTTTAACTTTCACATATCAAACCTTTTGATTTAATAGTAGTTTTTTCTCAAAATGGTTTCACAATTGTTGAACCTTGAAGGCTATTGCTGGAGAAGCTGGGGTACCATTTTTCTATAGAGCAGGATCTGAATTTGAGGAAATGTAAGCCATCTTTTGCTTTTTATTTTTCTGCTTTGTTAATCTTCTTCTATATGACCTTGTTAATCTGGCAATATTTTGTCTTGGGCAAAATATGCATAAGTAGGGTTGTATGTGTTTTAGCTAACATATTAGGTACTAATAAAATAACAACGGTATATTCTAAGTGTTCTGAGAACATGTTGTAGTTTTTCCTTTGATGATGAAAATTTTTGTTTATTTTTCCACACTATTATAGGAAGATATCATTTTAGATAGAGTAATGCTACACTTGCAAAAAAATCTTTCAAAAATCTCCATACAAAGTGATGTGGCAAAAAATGAATGGAGGAATGAAAATAATGAGTTTGACTTCTTGTTTTGCTCTTCCATTCACTTTTTGTCATCTCACTTTATATGGAAATCTTTGTAAGTATAGTATTATTGTTTTAGATATTTCTATGCATCATCAACTTTTATGATTGCTCTCTTTCCAGTTTAAAAAGATTCATTCTTTATTTATTTGAAGGATCAAAAGTCCTTATTATGCTATAGGCTGTTCAAAGATATTCAACAAGAAATTAATCTGTGGGATCAATTCTGAGAAATTTAAGAAAATCTATTAATCTCTGTAGAAGAATTTTGGCATTATGAAATGTGAGAATTTGTTGATTTCTCACAAACTTATTATTGCAATTTATATTACAGATCTACTTATTGCTTCTAATATTGGCATCCTCTTTTGGTTGTCTCTAAGGGTGTTCGGTGTGACTACTTTATTAATGTCTATCAACACAATTTTAGGGTAATGAATTTGTTTTTGGGCAGGTGAAAAGAGAAAAGTTTGTGTATTGGATTATTCTGTCAAATTTTAACTAAAATATGGCACTAGCTTTGGCTGTTACATTTGAGTAAAATTAGGCAAAAATGAAGCAGGGATGAAAGTTTTACATGGTTGTATTTGTAATCATATTACTTGTAACTGTAGGAACTACTAGTCTGAGAATTGATTTCAACTGCAACAATTAAAGGTGTGAGCTTTCCATGTGTGTGTGCACTCATGCTTAAGGGAATTGATAGTACTTGAATCTGGAACTTATCGAGTGGTATTCATGCTTTAGCAACTCATCAATAAAAGAAAGAAAATGCATGCTAATGATGCTGAGTCTTTTTCTTTTTTATTTGGCAGGTTTGTTGGTGTTGGTGCCCGACGTGTAAGGTCCTTATTTCAAGCAGCTAAAAAGAAGGTTTGTTTTTTTTCAGGCATTTTTTCAGTGACATTGCTGGAAAATAAAAAAGTAAATAAGGGGAGATATGGGAAATTATAACTAAAGAAAATATGAAATATTTTTAAACATAAAATTTTAATTATGCTTCTATTTGGTTCTTTGAGGATTTTGTAGATGTCAGAAAGACAAATATAAGTGGTATTGAGACATGTGCAATGCTTTTGTCCTAGAATGCTTTGAGTTGCTAATCTTTTTATTTAATATACTTGCCCAAAGAAAAGGTTTCTGGTGATGTTGTTCAAATAAAACTCTGTGCTGAAGATAGATGTGCAACTGCCATTTTTGTTTTAAGGGAAACTATAGTGCTACAAAATGGCTAGGTAGTGTATGTCCTTAGCTATGTGTATAATTGAGCCATTTCGATATCATGATCAGTTTCAACATCTGTTATTGTCACACTTGTTTACTTAAATTCTGTGTTGTATTTCTTTCATCATGTGATATAACATTATTTTATGTTCTATAGGCACCTTGTATCATCTTTATCGATGAAATAGATGCTGTCGGATCCACAAGAAAACAATGGGAAGGCCACACCAAGAAAACATTGCATCAACTACTTGTTGAAATGGATGGTTTTGAACAGAATGAGGTGTGTTTAACTATCTTGCTGTATGAATGAGTTTTTATATGCATTATTTTCAATCAATGATGTTATCTTTGTTTCTTCTCAAAAAAGGAATTTGTGTAACTTTATTATCCACAGGGAATAATCTTGATGGCTGCAACAAATTTGCCTGACATTCTTGATCCTGCTTTGACAAGGCCTGGTAGATTTGACAGGCATGTAAGTTTTTGCATCTCATATTTCTCTGATTTTTGAAGTTGAACTTGTGAAGAAACTGAAGATTGTACTGTTGAAATTTTTGGTTGGCTTAAATGCTATCAAGCATGGGCTCCGTGTGGTTCACTATTCTGATGCGTTTTAGAATAGTATTTTGAAAAAAGTAAAATTGGGTTATCTTTACAAGAAAGGTAATTATTAATGTTTTGATAGTTGAATAAAGTAGAATTGGATTTTGAGAATATTGAAACAAAAACATTTTTGGGTTTTTAGGATAGGATAGTGGAATAGGATAGGGATATAATAGTGAACCAAAGGGGCCCTTTATTACATGTATTTTCACTGGCTCCATCCTGTTCAAATGTTTCTGCATTTAGCAGAATCCATGTCTTCTCCATATGGTAATACCTGGTGAAATTTCTTGAATTTATGGTGACGCTAGAGATTTGGTCCATTAGTGTTCTTTCAGTCTATCATACTTGAATGTGCTTCAAGTTGCGTGCAGCATACAGCCATGGTTTGGCTTGTTTACCCCAACCTTCCTGTACATGGAAATGGCCTCTGCATCCCAAGCTAATTTTCATCCTTACTGCTAACTTGGGCTCCCAAAAGTCGATAATTGTAACCATAGGCATGTGTCTCTAGTCGGGATAAGTTGTCTCTACCAGGAACTTGTTCCACTTTTTCGGCAAATTTGATCTTTTAAATATTTAAAACCTAGTCTTTAAGTTCTAAAAAGTATGTAAAATTTTACTTGAATGATTTTTGTGAAGATTCTTGTCTTAATGTTGACCTTTTGGTTAAGTGATAGTGAAGTTTTTGAGATTATGGATGGTAATTTAATGAATATAACCACATTTTCATTCTCATGGTTATTAGTCAATTTAAGCTGTGTGCTCTAGATTTATCAATATATTTGAAATTAAGAGAGAGGACTAACAAAACCCACTTTTAGATTGTTGTTCCAAATCCTGATGTGCGAGGCCGACAAGAAATTTTGGAGCTCTATCTTCAGGATAAGCCTTTGGCAGAGGATGTAGATGTTAAATCAATTGCCAGAGGTACACCAGGATTCAATGGAGCAGGTAAATTTCCTTTCATTCAACTAATGTATCATTTTTCTTGCTATAAATGGCATGTGGAACAAATGTGTTTCTCATCAGTTGTGTACATGTGCTGCCAATGAATTTTCACCTCTTCTTTCTTTTCTTCCCCTTCAGATCTTGCGAATTTGGTAAACATTGCCGCCATTAAAGCTGCTGTTGAAGGTTTGGATAAATTAACGGCCACTGAGTTGGAGTACGCTAAAGACAGGATACTTATGGGTACTGAGCGTAAAACTATGTTCATATCTGAAGAGTCAAAGAAGGTATGTTAAACATCCATTTTAGATGAGAGATCCTGGCTTTATACAGTCTTTCAAATGTCTATTCCACTAATGAGTTCAATTATGCGTGTCATCTATGCTTTATCCATAACCCATGTATTCCTTGGGATTAAACCAATTTTTCTTTCTTTAGTCATTTCTATGTACTGAGAGATTTGTGGTGGGAGGAGTGAGGATTAAATTTCATTCAGTCTTGTTCTTTATTGAATTTTTCCATCATAAGATTTCATTGAGATGAATTCACATAGTTGGCCTGTGGCAATGATACTAGTTGTGTGCTTACTATTTTCAGAATAAATTATTGGTAGTATTAATTTGGAAGCTTATGGACAGTCAGTTCTGTAGTTATATAAAAAAGATACATGTGATATTTCATAATGGATTGTTCTTGTTTTCTGAGTCATTGTTACATGTTATTTCAGCTCACTGCATATCATGAGAGTGGTCACGCAATTGTTGCTTTCAACACTGAGGGTGCACATCCAATTCACAAGGCAACAATCATGCCACGTGGGTCTGCATTGGGAATGGTTACCCAGCTCCCTTCAAATGATGAGACATCAATTAGCAAGAAGCAGCTATTAGCTCGTCTTGATGTTTGTATGGGGGGAAGGGTTGCTGAGGAACTCATCTTTGGTCAGGACCATGTCACCACTGGAGCAAGTAGTGATCTTCACACAGCTACAGAGCTTGCCCAATACATGGTATAGTCTAAAGTCCTTTGTCCATGATTTTGAAAAACTAGCTAATTTTTTCAATGTTTCGGGATAACATATAAAATAAATGCCACTGTTGCCATTTAAACTAGAAGTTGGTTGGTGTGATCCATTACATAATATTTACTCTCCAAATTGTTACGGAAATAAGAATTCAAATTATTTAGGAACTTTCATCTATTTCTACATGTAAAGTTGGTTTGTTTTGATTCAATTGATTGATACTAAAGTCATCGTTTTGTGTCAGGTATCAAACTGCGGGATGAGTGACGCAATTGGACCTGTTAACATCAAAGAACGGCCAAGTTCAGAAATGCAATCACGTATTGATGCGGAAGTATGTCTGGAATTTTAGCCTCTGTTATGTTTCGGCTATGATAATTGCATTTCAAACTGATTTACTTGATTGGTACTGCAGGTGGTGAAACTCCTAAGAGAAGCATATGATCGTGTAAAGGCCCTATTAAAGAAGGTTAGTTAATGAAATCTGTTTGTTGGCATTTTTGTCTTTGGAGAGGACAAATAATATATTCTCTCTCTCTCTCTCTCTCTATATATATATATATATATATAGAGAGAGAGAGAGAGAGAGAGAGAGAGAGAGTCTTTCTTTTACCAGGACATCCTGATAACTTCTTTAATCGGGACATTAAATATGGGATGTTAGATTTTTCCAACGGTTAAGATTCATTTATATTAAAATTAGTTACTATACAAAATTCATTCGAGTGAGAAAGTGAAAGAGATAAGGTGAGAAAATTAAGGCTCAGTTTGTTTAACTTTTTAGAATAGTATTCTATTCTGAATATGATTTAATTAAATATGATAAAATTTTGAGAATGTGTTTGATACATTTTTTTTAAAACATTTAGATTATTTTTAAACCCCGTTAACAAAAATACCCTTACTCACCAACTAATTGTCGACAGTCGGCCATCACCGTCAGATGGTGTCCGTAAGTCGTAGGAATGGCTTACGATCGGCTGGATCTAGCCAGTCGTGCGTCTATCTGACCTTTTCCGGCCGGATCCACCATAGATCTGGTCGAAAATGGCCAGATCTACGGCCAAAGATCTGGTCGTTTATGATAGCCAAATTTTCGGTCGTCAACAACGGTCAAGATATGGCCATCGTTTAGTCGTCAACAATGGCCAAGATATGGTCGTCGTTGACGGCCAAGATCTAGTTATCAATGGCTAGATCTTTGGCTGTAGATCTAGTCGAAAAAAGTCAGATTGGGGTATGACCGGTCAAATTCAACCGGGCGTGCGCTATTACGAGGACTCCTAACCACTGTCCGGCGGTAGTGGCTGGCTGCCAACAATTAGTTAGTGGGTGAGGGTGTTTTTGTTATTTTATAAACTTTTATTGAGAAAGGTAATTGGTAAATGTTTTGAATTGAATTGAATATGATTGAGTTTTAAATTAAATAGTCAATATTAAAACAAACACATTTTTCACTGGATTGAATAGGATAGATAGAGTTTGAAAAGTGTACCAAGCAGGGGGTAAGATCCTGTACAACTGAAATAGCAAATGTCTTTTTAATTAAAATGAATCTAAACCGTGTATATATATAAACCAGCAAGCTGGCATTATCAACTTATATCCTACTGGAGGCACAATGGATTTAAGTTCTCATAAACCCTATTTGCTTGATTGAGAAGGCATTTTATTTTAGCTTCCAGTTCGCCTTTGGTATTTGAAAATTCTGCACTTGTGATATCATCATTGTTGATGACTTGATGTTTTCTAATTCTAATTTTTTTTTTTTTGTTTGAATATGTCAGCATGAGAAGGCGTTACATGCACTAGCAAATGCACTATTAGAGTATGAGACACTGAGTTCAGAGGAAATAAAGCGCATTCTTCTTCCTTACCGAGAAGGACGGCTCCCCGAGCCACAGGTAGAACAACAAGAAGAAGGAGAGCTTGTATTGGCATAAACGTGGTCCTAATGCTTTGAGTTGCTAATCTTTTTATTAATACTTCCCAAAGAAAGGTTTCTGGTGACGTCGTTCAAATAAAACCCTGTGCTGAAATAATGTGCACTGCCATTTTTGTTTTAAGGGAAACTATAGTGCTACAAAATGGCTAGGTAGTGTATGTCCTTAGCTATGTGTATAATTGAGCCATTTCGATATCATGATCAGTTTCAACATTGTTATCTGTCACACTGTTTTACTTAAATTCTGTGTTGTATTTCTTTCATCTGTGATATAACATTATTTTATGTTCTATAGGCACCTTGTATCATCTTTATCGATGAAATAGATGCTGTCGGTCCACAAGAAAACAATGGGAAGGCCACACCAAGAAAACATTGCATCAACTACTTGTTGAAATGGATGGTTTTGAACAGATAGGTGTGTTTAACTATCTTGCTGTATGAATGATTTTTTATGCATTATTTTCAATCATGAGTGATCTTTGTTCTTCTCAAAAAAGGAATTTGTGTAACTCATTATCCACAGGGATAATCTTATGGCTGCAACAAATTTGCCTGACATTCTTGATCCTGCTTTGACGAGGCCTGGTAGATTGACAGGCATGTTTTTGCATCTCATATTTCTCTGATTTTTGAAGTTGAACTTGTGAAGAAACTGAAGATTGTACTGTTGAAATTTTTGGTTGGCTTAAATGCTATCAAGCATGGGCTCCGTGTGGTTCACTATTCTGATGCGTTTTAGAATAGTATTTTGAAAAAGTAAAATTTTATCTTTACAAGAAAGGTAATTATTAATGTTTTGATAGTTGAATAAGTAGAATTGGATTTTGAATTTGAAACAAAAACATTTTTGGTTTTTAGGATAGGATGTAATAGGATAGGGATATAATAGTGAACCAAGGGGCCCTTTATTACATGTATTTTCACTGGCTCCATCCTGTTCAAATGTTCTGCATTTAGCAGAACCAGTCTTCTCCAATGGTAATACCTGGTGAAATTTCTTGAATTTATGGTGACGCTAGAGATTTGGTCCATTAGTGTTCTTTCAGTCTATCATACTTGAATGTGCTTCAGTTGCGTGCAGCATACAGCCATGGTTTGGCTTGTTTACCCCACCTTCCTGTACATGGAATGGCCTCTGCATCCCAAGCTAATTTTCATCCTTACTGCTAACTTGCTCCCAAAGTCGATAATTGTAACCATAGGCATGTGTCTCTAGTCGGGATAGTTGTCTCTACCAACTTGTTCCACTTTTTCGGCAAATTTGTCTTTTAAATATTTAACCTAGTCTTTAAGTTCTAAAAAGTATGTAAAATTTTACTTGAATGATTTTTGTAAGATTCTTGTCTTAATGTTGACATTTTGGTTAAGTGATAGTGAAGTTTTTGAGATTATGGATGGTAATTTAATGAATATAACCACATTTCATTCTCATGGTTTATAGTCAATTTAAGCTGTCTGCTCTAGATTTACAATATATTTGAAATTAAGAGAGAGGACTAACAACCCCACTTTTGATTGTTGTTCCAAATCCTAGGTGCGAGGGCGACAGAAATTTTGGAGCTCTACTTCAGGATAAACCTTTGGCAGAGGATGTAGATGTTAAATCAATTGCCAAGGTACACCAATTCAATGGAGCAGGTAAATTTCCTTTCATTCAACTAATGTATCATTTTTCTTGCTATAATGGCATGTGGAACAAATGTGTTTCTCATCAGTTGTGTACATGTGCTGCCAATGAATTGTCACCCTTCTTTCTTTTTCTTCCCCTTCAGATCTTGCGAATTTGTAAACATTGCCGCCTTAAAGCTGCTGTTGAAGGTTTGGATAAGTTAACGGCCCTGAGTTGGAGTACGCTAAAGACAGTACTATGGGACTGAGCGTAAAACTATGTTTATATCTGAGAGTCAAAGAAGGTATGTTAAACATCCATTTGAGATGAGAGATCCTGGCTTCATACAGTATTTCAAATGTCTATTCCACTAATGAGTTCAATTATGCTGTCATCTATGCTTTATCCATAACCCATGTATTCCTTGGGATTAAACCAATTTTTCTTTCTTTAGTCATTTCTATGTACTAGAGATTGTGGTGGGAGGAGTGAGGATTAAATATTTTTTTTTTTCATTAAATGCTTCGTTTTATTGCTTCGGTTCAATATCATGATCTTCAATTTTGATATATTAATGTCTTATGTTGATTTGGTAACATGTAGATGCAAAAAAAATTAGCATTTTTACCGTTCAAGGATGAAATGCAAGTTACTAGGTGGTCATGTATGCTTGTGTATACGTGATTTATAGAATCCAGATTAGTTATGACTTATATCAAGGAACCTGCTGTTAAACGTTGTTTTTCTTATCCATTTTCAAAAAGCAGTTAAGCATGAATGGTTTCATGCTTCCCTGTGAGGTTAAATAACTTCGTTATTGAATTTGTGTTTAGGTTCTGCAATTATATGATAGATTGTTTTAAAATACCAGTCTTACATGTACTTTGCAGGGAATTCTTTTGACTGGAGCACCTGGAACAGGAAAAACTCTGCTTGCCAAGGTAAGGTGTTTCTTCTGTACTCTCATAAACTGTTTTTACCTGTTAAGGGGTTTTAGGTTTCATGTGCTAAATTGTTCTTTTACCTGTTAAGGTTTTCAGTTTTCATGAGCCAATTGTTTTTGACCTGCTAAGGGTTTTAGGTTTCAAGTTTTGTGCCAAAGCTAGTACATTCACTTACCTTTTTTTTACCTAATTGATCTTTCGTTTCTTTGTTTGTAACTGTATCTAGTGGCAGTGTTCTCGTATGTGGATTTGTAGTTACACATATCAACATTCTTTTAGTTTTTCCTTGTGTAACTTTAACCTATGAATCAGTACTTATCAAAGATAAAAATAGTGGAAAAAAACATGTATGTGTAAATTCTAATGGCAATCTTGAGTTCATGAAAATTGGGTATTCGGCATCCTTATTGAAAGAACTTGTGTGGATGTGTTCCTTGACATTTATCCAATTGTCAATTTAGGTTCCTTGACATTTGTTTAGATATTTTAACTTTCACATATCAAACCTTTTGATTTAATAGTAGTTTTTTCTCAAAATGGTTTCACAATTGTTGAACCTTGAAGGCTATTGCTGGAGAAGCTGGGGTACCATTTTTCTATAGAGCAGGATCTGAATTTGAGGAAATGTAAGCCATCTTTTGCTTTTTATTTTTCTGCTTTGTTAATCTTCTTCTATATGACCTTGTTAATCTGGCAATATTTTGTCTTGGGCAAAATATGCATAAGTAGGGTTGTATGTGTTTTAGCTAACATATTAGGTACTAATAAAATAACAACGGTATATTCTAAGTGTTCTGAGAACATGTTGTAGTTTTTCCTTTGATGATGAAAATTTTTGTTTATTTTTCCACACTATTATAGGAAGATATCATTTTAGATAGAGTAATGCTACACTTGCAAAAAAATCTTTCAAAAATCTCCATACAAAGTGATGTGGCAAAAAATGAATGGAGGAATGAAAATAATGAGTTTGACTTCTTGTTTTGCTCTTCCATTCACTTTTTGTCATCTCACTTTATATGGAAATCTTTGTAAGTATAGTATTATTGTTTTAGATATTTCTATGCATCATCAACTTTTATGATTGCTCTCTTTCCAGTTTAAAAAGATTCATTCTTTATTTATTTGAAGGATCAAAAGTCCTTATTATGCTATAGGCTGTTCAAAGATATTCAACAAGAAATTAATCTGTGGGATCAATTCTGAGAAATTTAAGAAAATCTATTAATCTCTGTAGAAGAATTTTGGCATTATGAAATGTGAGAATTTGTTGATTTCTCACAAACTTATTATTGCAATTTATATTACAGATCTACTTATTGCTTCTAATATTGGCATCCTCTTTTGGTTGTCTCTAAGGGTGTTCGGTGTGACTACTTTATTAATGTCTATCAACACAATTTTAGGGTAATGAATTTGTTTTTGGGCAGGTGAAAAGAGAAAAGTTTGTGTATTGGATTATTCTGTCAAATTTTAACTAAAATATGGCACTAGCTTTGGCTGTTACATTTGAGTAAAATTAGGCAAAAATGAAGCAGGGATGAAAGTTTTACATGGTTGTATTTGTAATCATATTACTTGTAACTGTAGGAACTACTAGTCTGAGAATTGATTTCAACTGCAACAATTAAAGGTGTGAGCTTTCCATGTGTGTGTGCACTCATGCTTAAGGGAATTGATAGTACTTGAATCTGGAACTTATCGAGTGGTATTCATGCTTTAGCAACTCATCAATAAAAGAAAGAAAATGCATGCTAATGATGCTGAGTCTTTTTCTTTTTTATTTGGCAGGTTTGTTGGTGTTGGTGCCCGACGTGTAAGGTCCTTATTTCAAGCAGCTAAAAAGAAGGTTTGTTTTTTTTCAGGCATTTTTTCAGTGACATTGCTGGAAAATAAAAAAGTAAATAAGGGGAGATATGGGAAATTATAACTAAAGAAAATATGAAATATTTTTAAACATAAAATTTTAATTATGCTTCTATTTGGTTCTTTGAGGATTTTGTAGATGTCAGAAAGACAAATATAAGTGGTATTGAGACATGTGCAATGCTTTTGTCCTAGAATGCTTTGAGTTGCTAATCTTTTTATTTAATATACTTGCCCAAAGAAAAGGTTTCTGGTGATGTTGTTCAAATAAAACTCTGTGCTGAAGATAGATGTGCAACTGCCATTTTTGTTTTAAGGGAAACTATAGTGCTACAAAATGGCTAGGTAGTGTATGTCCTTAGCTATGTGTATAATTGAGCCATTTCGATATCATGATCAGTTTCAACATCTGTTATTGTCACACTTGTTTACTTAAATTCTGTGTTGTATTTCTTTCATCATGTGATATAACATTATTTTATGTTCTATAGGCACCTTGTATCATCTTTATCGATGAAATAGATGCTGTCGGATCCACAAGAAAACAATGGGAAGGCCACACCAAGAAAACATTGCATCAACTACTTGTTGAAATGGATGGTTTTGAACAGAATGAGGTGTGTTTAACTATCTTGCTGTATGAATGAGTTTTTATATGCATTATTTTCAATCAATGATGTTATCTTTGTTTCTTCTCAAAAAAGGAATTTGTGTAACTTTATTATCCACAGGGAATAATCTTGATGGCTGCAACAAATTTGCCTGACATTCTTGATCCTGCTTTGACAAGGCCTGGTAGATTTGACAGGCATGTAAGTTTTTGCATCTCATATTTCTCTGATTTTTGAAGTTGAACTTGTGAAGAAACTGAAGATTGTACTGTTGAAATTTTTGGTTGGCTTAAATGCTATCAAGCATGGGCTCCGTGTGGTTCACTATTCTGATGCGTTTTAGAATAGTATTTTGAAAAAAGTAAAATTGGGTTATCTTTACAAGAAAGGTAATTATTAATGTTTTGATAGTTGAATAAAGTAGAATTGGATTTTGAGAATATTGAAACAAAAACATTTTTGGGTTTTTAGGATAGGATAGTGGAATAGGATAGGGATATAATAGTGAACCAAAGGGGCCCTTTATTACATGTATTTTCACTGGCTCCATCCTGTTCAAATGTTTCTGCATTTAGCAGAATCCATGTCTTCTCCATATGGTAATACCTGGTGAAATTTCTTGAATTTATGGTGACGCTAGAGATTTGGTCCATTAGTGTTCTTTCAGTCTATCATACTTGAATGTGCTTCAAGTTGCGTGCAGCATACAGCCATGGTTTGGCTTGTTTACCCCAACCTTCCTGTACATGGAAATGGCCTCTGCATCCCAAGCTAATTTTCATCCTTACTGCTAACTTGGGCTCCCAAAAGTCGATAATTGTAACCATAGGCATGTGTCTCTAGTCGGGATAAGTTGTCTCTACCAGGAACTTGTTCCACTTTTTCGGCAAATTTGATCTTTTAAATATTTAAAACCTAGTCTTTAAGTTCTAAAAAGTATGTAAAATTTTACTTGAATGATTTTTGTGAAGATTCTTGTCTTAATGTTGACCTTTTGGTTAAGTGATAGTGAAGTTTTTGAGATTATGGATGGTAATTTAATGAATATAACCACATTTTCATTCTCATGGTTATTAGTCAATTTAAGCTGTGTGCTCTAGATTTATCAATATATTTGAAATTAAGAGAGAGGACTAACAAAACCCACTTTTAGATTGTTGTTCCAAATCCTGATGTGCGAGGCCGACAAGAAATTTTGGAGCTCTATCTTCAGGATAAGCCTTTGGCAGAGGATGTAGATGTTAAATCAATTGCCAGAGGTACACCAGGATTCAATGGAGCAGGTAAATTTCCTTTCATTCAACTAATGTATCATTTTTCTTGCTATAAATGGCATGTGGAACAAATGTGTTTCTCATCAGTTGTGTACATGTGCTGCCAATGAATTTTCACCTCTTCTTTCTTTTCTTCCCCTTCAGATCTTGCGAATTTGGTAAACATTGCCGCCATTAAAGCTGCTGTTGAAGGTTTGGATAAATTAACGGCCACTGAGTTGGAGTACGCTAAAGACAGGATACTTATGGGTACTGAGCGTAAAACTATGTTCATATCTGAAGAGTCAAAGAAGGTATGTTAAACATCCATTTTAGATGAGAGATCCTGGCTTTATACAGTCTTTCAAATGTCTATTCCACTAATGAGTTCAATTATGCGTGTCATCTATGCTTTATCCATAACCCATGTATTCCTTGGGATTAAACCAATTTTTCTTTCTTTAGTCATTTCTATGTACTGAGAGATTTGTGGTGGGAGGAGTGAGGATTAAATTTCATTCAGTCTTGTTCTTTATTGAATTTTTCCATCATAAGATTTCATTGAGATGAATTCACATAGTTGGCCTGTGGCAATGATACTAGTTGTGTGCTTACTATTTTCAGAATAAATTATTGGTAGTATTAATTTGGAAGCTTATGGACAGTCAGTTCTGTAGTTATATAAAAAAGATACATGTGATATTTCATAATGGATTGTTCTTGTTTTCTGAGTCATTGTTACATGTTATTTCAGCTCACTGCATATCATGAGAGTGGTCACGCAATTGTTGCTTTCAACACTGAGGGTGCACATCCAATTCACAAGGCAACAATCATGCCACGTGGGTCTGCATTGGGAATGGTTACCCAGCTCCCTTCAAATGATGAGACATCAATTAGCAAGAAGCAGCTATTAGCTCGTCTTGATGTTTGTATGGGGGGAAGGGTTGCTGAGGAACTCATCTTTGGTCAGGACCATGTCACCACTGGAGCAAGTAGTGATCTTCACACAGCTACAGAGCTTGCCCAATACATGGTATAGTCTAAAGTCCTTTGTCCATGATTTTGAAAAACTAGCTAATTTTTTCAATGTTTCGGGATAACATATAAAATAAATGCCACTGTTGCCATTTAAACTAGAAGTTGGTTGGTGTGATCCATTACATAATATTTACTCTCCAAATTGTTACGGAAATAAGAATTCAAATTATTTAGGAACTTTCATCTATTTCTACATGTAAAGTTGGTTTGTTTTGATTCAATTGATTGATACTAAAGTCATCGTTTTGTGTCAGGTATCAAACTGCGGGATGAGTGACGCAATTGGACCTGTTAACATCAAAGAACGGCCAAGTTCAGAAATGCAATCACGTATTGATGCGGAAGTATGTCTGGAATTTTAGCCTCTGTTATGTTTCGGCTATGATAATTGCATTTCAAACTGATTTACTTGATTGGTACTGCAGGTGGTGAAACTCCTAAGAGAAGCATATGATCGTGTAAAGGCCCTATTAAAGAAGGTTAGTTAATGAAATCTGTTTGTTGGCATTTTTGTCTTTGGAGAGGACAAATAATCTATTCTCTCTCTCTCTCTCTCTCTCTCTCTATATATATATATATATAGAGGGTCTTTCTTTTATCAGGACATCCTGATAACTTCTTTAATCGGGACATTAAATATGGGATGTTAGATTTTTCCAACGGTTAAGATTCATTTATATTAAAATTAGTTACCATACAAAATTCATTCGAGTGAGCAAGTGAAAGAGATAAGGTGAGAAAATTAAGGCTCAGTTTGTTTAACTTTTTAGAATAGTATTATATTCTAAATAGGATTTAATAAAATATGATAAAATTCTGAGAATGTGTTTGATACATTTTTAAAAAAAATTAGATTATTTTTTAACCCCGTTAACAAAAATACCCTTACTCACCAACTAATTGTCGACAGTCGGTCACCACATTCAGATGGTGTCTGTAAGTCGTAGGAATGACTCACGACCGGCTGGATCTAGCCAGTCATGCGTCGATCTGGCATTTTTCGGTCGGATCCATCATAGATCTGGTTGGAAATGGTCAGATCTACGGCCAGAGATCTGGTTGTTGACAATAGCCAAATTTTCGGTCCTCAACAACGGTCAAGATATGGCCATCGTTTGGTCATTAACAATAGCCAAGATATGGTCGTCATTGACAGTCAAGATCTAGTTATCAATGGCTAGATCTTTGGCTGTAGATCTTGTAGGAAAAAATCAGATTGGGGTATGATCGGTCAAATCCAATCGGGCGTACGCTATTACGACGATTTCTGACCACTGTCCGGCGGTAGTGGTTGGCTGCCAACAATTAGTTAGTGGGTGAGGGTGTTTTTGTTATTTTATAAACTTTTATTGAGAAAGGTAATTGCTAAATGTTTTGAATTAAATTAAATATGATTGGATTTTAAATTAAATAGTCAAATATTAAAACAAACACGTTTTTCACCGGATTGAATAGGATAGGATAGAGTTTGAAAAGTGTACCAAGCAGGGGTAACTGAAAGTGTCTTTTTAATTAAAATGAATCTAAAACCGTGTATATATATAAACCAGCAAGCTGGCATTCTCAACTTGTATCCTACTGGAGGCACAATGGATTTAGGTTCTCATAAACCCTATTTGCTTGATTGAGAAGGCATTTTATTTTAGCTTCCAGTTCGCCTTTGGTATTTGAAAATTCTGCACTTGTGATATCATCATTGTTGATGACTTGATGTTTTCTAATTCTAATTTTTTTTTTGTTTGAATATGTCAGCATGAGAAGGCGTTACATGCACTAGCAAATGCACTATTAGAGTATGAGACACTGAGTTCAGAGGAAATAAAGCGCATTCTTCTTCCTTACCGAGAAGGACGGCTCCCCGAGCCACAGGTAGAACAACAAGAAGAAGGAGAGCTTGTATTGGCATAAACGTGGATCTTTACTTGGGTATGTAAATGTTCGGGGGAGCTCTGTACAGTGTATTAAAAGCACCACCGGTGATTATTTATTCAATTTGATACAATTTTCTTCCTATATTGTTTTCATTGTAAGCATGTGCTATTTAATATTTATAGGCTGCACGTCTTTGAAGCAACTAACTCCCCTGCTCTAACAACCAACCAAAAATGGTAGAAAGTTCTGTATCATTTGTGAAATCATATGTATTATTTTAACTTTACCCCATTATGGGTCAAATTTTGAATTATAGCATTAATTTAAGATTATAGAAACCCTTTTATTTTCTTCCTGTTTTGGCTCATCATATTGATATAATATTTCATTTTGATGTTTTTTGGGATTAGCATATTTGGTGCGCATGAATGCAAGTTCAACAGATGAGTTCTTGAGGCCATTGCAATTAATTTAAAGATCTTTCTTTGGAAAGAAACAAAAGGTGAAATAACCGATTTCTTCGACTGAAAATCCAAGTTTCTACCCCTTCTTTCAAGTCAAAGGTTGACTTGACGAGTACCCTCTTCTTGATGGTACTCTATTAAAGTCGCTGAGCACAAGAATTAAACCATTTGAAACTTGAATCTCATTTAAGCAAGCTAGATCTAGATGAGCTGCATTCCATTTTTGAACTCCCTGATTCAGTAAAGCGTCGTTCTGAACTTTCAACTGTTAGTACTAACAGACAATTATTTAGTATAGTAAATGGCAGTGACAAGCCTCCACCTACAAACACAGCGAGCCTATTGTTGGAGATTAACCAAACTTTTCATTTTTACTGCTCTGCCAGGATCTAAAACATGAAACCAAGATATACAAGAACTAACCCTTTCCAGTACATTTTATATATACACATAGACGTAAAAGCACGAACAAAACTCTGGAAAATACAGAGAAAACGATAACCTAGTCTCTTTCTCTTTTTTAACTTTTTCATCATATAAAAGTGAAACCTTTTATAAGAGCTGTGGTTCTTGACCTACTTAAGACACTGAACATACTCAAAAACAAAGACACAACATAACAAAAGGAAAATGTGTGCGTATAAATGATGAAATAAGTACTAATGCCAGTCCGTCTCCAAAGCCTCCGAGATACGAAAGCCTCGAAAGCTTCATCCTTGGCAACCAGAGCATTCGACATCAGCTCTCTCATCCCTACTTTTCTTAAATCCGATCAATGGGTTCAGTCCTATCCTGCACTGCAAGCCGCTCAGAGACATCAGCAAGTGATTTGAGATTGCACTTGATTAAAGCTTCAACAAAGTAGCACGTATCATCCTTGGTGTTGCCTTCCGGCACATCCACCACAAATGACTCAAGCACCAAAGTCCCTGGCCTTCCATCGATGATCTCTGGATGAAGGGAAATGATCGAAGAGTAGTTCTGAGAAGGGAAAGCCAAGACAATCACAAACAAATAGCAGGTTCAACATAATTGCATGAAAACGGAACCACAGACCTAGAAGTCAGCAAGCAAAACCAGATATTAAGCAGCAAGCTTTATAAAGGAACTTTTAGGCTTCAGGTTTGGTCAATATTGTGAACTAAAGCTGCTCAAAGGAAGCATATCAGCAGTTGGCAAAGTCTTGCTGCTCTATTAAAATGCCAATTCCATGAAAAACCAACCGTGTGCTTAAGACAATAAACTCTTAAACTCTAGTTAATATCAACACACACAACACAACAACTTGCACATCACAATGCAAAAGATGCAATAACCCCATCTACTTCGAGGGCACAAGTCAGACGTGCGCTAAGAAAACCGTTTAATCAAATAAAGAAAGAACCATAATAGGATGTAAGGATATGAGGAATGAGAGTAGAACAATGGGTTAAATCAGAAGGGGAAGAAAAAGTTGAATACCCTGAGTCTGTGATCGCCACCAATAATCCTGATTCTGAGAACATGCTCTTCATCATCAAGAAGTTCTAGTCTTTCGGTACTCGTGGTGGCAGGAAGACCAGACTTAACATCAACTTCTCTGAGACTCCCGATCTCAAGGTTTCCCTGCACAACACACCTGCTGATAAAAGGCTTGTACTTCTGCGGTTGATCAAACCTCCTCACCAAAGACCATACCTGTAAAAGGAATTTTCCAGATATGAAGCATCCCTTAAACAAAGAACTCAAGCAATGCAATAACTTACTGAATTTCAACAAAAACAGCTTTCAAGCTCTATAAGTTTGGAAGAACAGGTAATTTCTACATCAATCAAAAGTCATTTATCAACTGTCCCATTCTTAAAGCATATTCTTGGTTAACATAGCATCTCTAACTCCAACCACGCATTTGGTAGGTTAAAGAGAAGAATTTTGAGCCATATGTTTTTTTTCTGTTTCCAAGAATCTCAAAAGTAAGAATCTAAAATTTAAGAAGATAACCTTTTCCTTACATTTTCTCAGAAACCAAACAAACTATATAATCAAAACTTGCAGAAAGCCCGTTGCTTATCATAATCATACCTCACAACAGCCTTGAGAAACATATTGACTCAATTAAAAAACCAGAACCCAACACACCGACTTACTAAAATAAGCAAGAATACATCAAAGCCACATCAGATTCAAACAAAAAACAAATCTTTTAAAAACAACACAGATCAAGATCAAGTACCCTCACATAAAACAAGTCAAACATCAAAAAACTTGACCAAAAAAACAACAAAATCTCACAAAAGGAAACCACAAATCCAAAACCCACCAATCCCACATTGAAAATCACTGAACCCAGATTTCAAGATTGAAACTGGAACCCATTTGAATGAACTTCTCAAACATTCATAACCCGAACTCTATTCATCACCAAAAGAAAATCTAAAAACAAAATAACACACATAAAAATAAATAAATAAAACATATTACGAGATGAACAGGAGCTCTGATGTGCTTGATGAGAACAGAACTACACTGATGATCAGCTACATCGTGTGTATGATGTCTTCTAATATGCTCACTTTCATCAGCTCCAAACACGTTTCCATTAGTATTATCATTGCCGTTCATTCTTGCCAAACGCTGCCTTACCTCTCACCTTCTGCTTATAGCTTTTTTCTCACGGACTGTATTAGCTTTTCAGTTTGTCTTTATAAACAAGAACAAGAAGTAGTAGTAGTAGAAGAAGACGAAGAAGAAAAAGAAAGTGTCTTCCTTTTTCTATCTATCATCTCATTCTCATCACCTGAAACCATAAAAATACCAACACCAACTACAAATATCGTTTCTTATAAATAACCATTTCTGTTTTGTAATCTAGCTACTTCTAAACCGACCCTGCATTTTTTATTATTTACGGATGTGCCATTCCTTTGTCTGCTTCTGACAACTTGTCTCTTTCTGACGAAAATACCCTTGGTGTTGGTTATACTTGATGAATTATTTCTTTCGCAGGCCGGTGCGGTGGATCATGGTTCATGTGATCCGTGTTAGCCGCTTCTTATTATTTTCAATTTTTTATTTTTAAAAATTAAATTTATAATCGGATTAATTAAATCCCTAATATAATTTTTTTCTTAATTCCCATTAATTTTTTTTTAATTTTTGCTGAAGCAAACTAAAAAATCTAGTTATGTTTATTGTAATTGTTTTTAATTTCATTTAATTTTTGTCAATAATTTACAGTATCTCAAAATTATTGACTATTTGAAATTAATTAATGCCAAAATTCTATTACTTCATCACTCAGGTGACCCCACACGGTCAATTTAAACGCCGCCACCACGCGCATGAGAGGGAGATTTAAAAAGCAATTATATTTATCCTTAAACAAAAGTACTTTTATAAGAAAAACGTACATTTTGATTGAAGCTTGAGAAGGCGCAGCCTTACTCCAAAAGGCGTAAAATAGCATGGTTCTCAAAAAAGATTCGAGAGTTTAATCCACGCTTTGGGTGAGAGCGTTAGAATATTTTGTTAGTTTAAAATATATTAAAGTCTGCCGCGGAAACGTGCTCGGAAGGTTAGATGCACGTGACGCGCTTTAGAACCTTGTGCTATGCTTGTAAACATTCAAATTGGTATATCAGCCTTTTTTTATTGTAATTTCAAAAATTAAAAATTAAATAAGCAAAGAAAATAGTTTTTTTAATAAATAAAATTATATATGTATGAAATTTTATGTTAATCTTTATTTATTTATTGAATTTTCATAATAAGAAATTTGATGACCCATTGATAATTATTTTTGACTGAATTTTAATGCTTAATCTAAATATTAAGTTTTTTTAATTTAATTAAAAAACTGACTATACTCAGAAACAAATATGGGTTTTTTTTTTTTTTTAATATATATAGAATATTTAAAGAAATTGGATTGTTATGAGGATAATTTGGTCATTTGAATTCATAGTGCCTGAAATGGCTTTATGAAAATAAGTTGATGATTATGGAAGTTTAATGAGGGAAACAAAGTAATTAAGTAATGTTTTTAGTAATTTTAAATCCAAATTATTACACTAATAACACTCTAATAGTTTAATTGTTCTAGAAAATCAATACCTTCTTTTAATATATTTAATTTTTATTTGACAAAACAAATATATTTGTTTGAGATTGATAATTTTGTGGAGGTTTATAAAAGATATGAAAATATGAAAATACGACAAAACGCATGAGTATCTGATACGTAATATTTTTCATTTAACTCATACATTACAATGAATGTGGTTATGGATTGTGTCATTAAAGTAATATTACGACAAAACTATTATATATGCAGAGATTCCTCTCCGTCGTTTCTTAAAATTAAGTGATATCAAAGACATTATTATTGTTTCTCGCTAACGTTTTTAATTAAGAAAGAATCTCTCATTCAAACGGGTTCTATGTATCTCACATTCTACGAGAAAGTACGTGCATCATCCATTATGTGCGAACAAAAGAAAAGGTTATATGCCACAAAATGTTCCATTGTTTGTTATATTCTTCTATAAAATATAAATATAATGGAATACCATCATTCCGAACGATACTTTAAAAAAAAAAATGAAAAATGACATAAGTTGCATTTCGATAAACAAACACTCATTAAAATATATGTCGAAAAAAATATAAAGTTTAATGACAATAAGTGTCCATTAATTACCCACCCATAGATAGTCGGGTGATGCTTATAGTTTTAGGTTCAATTCTTTCGTTGAGGACAAAGATAATACTTTTACTCATGATTTATATGTAAGCTAGTCCTATAATATAGCAATCACATGCTCTCTTTATTTTCTTTATTTGTATATTAATTTGACACAAGATCCTATAAATATATATTAATATATGTTCATCTATGAATTGAGGGATGGCCACCCAATGGAAATCTAATCTTTAAACCAATTGAAAGTTTGAAACAATCTGACTGACACTGTTTAGATTATATTTATGGTCTCATTTTATTGTGGCTTGTGACAGAGTGTATTCCATTACTGAATTTATTGCTTATTCTTGTTGGCTACTATTTTATTTATTATTGCTAGCTTCAGTATTAATTAATGCATAAATTGATTGGATGCCTGTGTCTTCATCAACCCACTCTCTCATAACCCTAATTAATTAAGTTAATTATGAAGAATGTGAGAGATGACCAATCATTTTATGATGTTTCTATTAACAGTGGATTGCATTTTTGTTTTCTTAAACGAAAACAATTTCTTATGAGTATGAAGTTTTAACTGCATTGTTGATAATCAGATAATCAGATTGGTTGAAATTGAATTGAAGATGACCAACTTTTTTAGGTAAAAAAAATAATGGTCTTGGGTTGACTTTCTGCCCTTTTCTATCATTTTTTATGAAAGTGATACAAACTTACCCAAATCATTTCAAATATACATTGAATCTTTATAAGCACATACCAACAATCATAAATACAAAAAATAAATAGTGGGCTTTGCAACAGTCGAGCCAATTAAGTAGAAATTATCTGTTTTCTAATGCTTACAAAATGACCTAGTTTACTTCTCCTCTTATGGCCAGATGAAAAACCCTTTAACTATTGAGGTTAGCAATACCTAGGGTTTTTGTGTTCGAGTCGCAGGAGAGACACTTACTATATATGTGCAATTTTCTTGGTCGATTGAACTTGTAAGGTATTTCGTAGCCTTGGGGATTAGACGACCTCAACTGAAAATTGTGCACCAATACCTAAGATACTAAAAAAAAAATGACCCAGTTTTTCATTATCTACCTATATGGGATGTTGCTATATGTATAGGCAAAAATTAAAATGCATGCTTATTTCAACTAATAATTTTATAAATATGTACATGCATTATATTTATTGGGGTTAGACTGCTAGGATAGTTTTTCTCTAAAAAAAATTAATAATAATTAACTTTGGTCCAATATAATTATCTCTAAGTCATACATATCAATTAAATCTTAAATTTTTTCTTTAGTATGCAAATTGAATGATTAAAATTATAAAGTTGAAGGTCTTTATGGATGCTTCCAGGAATAAAGCATGAAAAAAGGCCCACAATTGAGCATTCATGTGGCTCTCTATGCTTATCAAATTTCTTCCAGATTTTAATATATATACCTAATTTCATTAATTAAAATATGAACAAGTAATAAGTTGGCAGAGCAGGAGAATTTATTGGGTAGCCCATAAACCAATATATGTGGGATATGGGAGGCCATAATTTTGTCTGCTTGTCTTCTCTTTTTTCAAGCACAAAACTTCTGCTTCCTGCTTCCTACCATCAATTAGCCACACCCTTTTTCTCGTATTTATCCGAGTTCAATCCTTTTCAATTCCTTAAACAACATAATGATTTGTGCATGAATAATTAGAGATGAGTCTTTTTAACACTAGTCAAATAATTATTGGCCCCAACCCAATTTCACCAGTCCTATTCAATAATCGACTACCACTTTCTCTACATTGTTTTAGAGGTATGAATTTGTATTGTATCCTTAATTGGGCATGCTAATAAAATCCTGAAACTGTTGCCAGTCGTTTTCATTTTCAGGACCCTTTTTACCAAAAGGGTAAGTTTCAATACTGTCCTAATAATTTGTAGAAAAGGTGAAATGTTTTGGTTATAAATTAAAGGGAGTCAAGTAACAATTTTGGTCCCTTAGGTTTAGTCAAACTAACATTAGGTCCAGAAGAATATAAAAGTAATGCTTAGGTCTTTGTCAATTAACAATTGTAAATAAACATTCTTTTTTTGTATAAGTGTAAAATACCCCTAATATTTTCTTAATGTCAATTACATTAAAGAATTGCTTACTAATGTCTAATAACAACTTAAGTGTTACTTTCAGATTTTATTGGACTTAAAAGTAAAAAGCCAAACCTTAGGGATCAATAATAAGGGTCCGAAGGTACTTTATTGACTTTATAGTCTTAATTATTTGGCGTTGTTTTTGAGAGACAAAATTTCAAAATGTCCTATGACCCGTTAGCAGAAAGTTTTAATTAATTAATTAACTTGGAATTATTGTTAATTAAAATTTTGGAATTAAGCTTTAATTAATGTAGTCACCATTTCGTAAGATTCAGAGTGTCAGGTTGTGGATTCGTGATGCATCATCGAATCAAAGGAGTTTAAACAAAAGTATTAGTGCTTTAATTGCCAACAGGTGTCAAATTTTTGTTTAGGCCTTTTTGGGATCTTGGTCATTTTATATGTAACCACTTCAGAGAATAAATCTCAATTTCGCATCATTTAAAACCCTAGTTTATGCCTTCTTTCTTTGAGATTGCTTGTACTCCAATTAAGATTAACTTTTACATAATTATAAAAAAAAAAAAAAAAATAATTTTTATATTGACGTTGAAAATGATCTTTCAATAAGAAAGTTTGTCGTGTTTACATATCATTTTATTTTTATTATATAATAAATAACGAGATAAAAAGAGTAATTACGGCAAATATGGTTAAGATACCCAAGAGAACAAAAATCTTGATTGAAGTAAGTCCACATGTTACTCTAATTTTATGTGCTTAATTCTAAAGCAAAATTGTGATTATTTTGATAATCACACACAACAAATCACCATCAAATGTGATCTGATACCCGTGATCCTAAAGATATTTTTGATATTGAAAAGAGAATGAACTTTCTACTATTACAAAGTATCAATCCTGTTTGATATGTTAAACTAAATAATTAAGGTTAATGTACATTGCAAATCCAAGGCTGCATCCACTAACTCACATATTTAATCAATCTCTCCAAATCCTTGTAATTATTTGTAC